TTTAAACCAAGGAGCGAAATGTAGTTTGACAATAAATTTAGTCTACAAAGAGGACTTGACAGTTGAACCTGTACACTTGGTTATGGTTGTTGCAAAGGACAGTCAATTAGTTTATGATACTGAACCAGGTGAAGTAAATAATTTAGAATCAGCTAAATGGAAGTCTCGAACAATGGCATGGCTTTGGCAAGCGTTTACAGATGATCAAATTTATAAGAGAAATAGTAACTCTGGTCATCGTTGCTTTAGATTGGACGAAACTGAACTTATAAATGGAGAATATTGTAAGCAATCTAATAGTTTCTATTCAGAAATGGTTGTAGAATATAAATTTATTTTCTTTTAGATCCAAAAATCCATGTATTACAAACCGATATGACTACAGCACAAATTCAAGCCGAGAAATCAGATTTATTTGGCATGTGTAAAAATGTTGTTCTAAACAATCCAACAAAGTTTATTAAGCCACAAAATTTACCATTACAGTTTACATGCTTGTTCCTTGATTCACATTACATACCAAATGAAGACAGAGTTGCTGGTCACGCTGCTTTAGGCTCGGGTTGGAATAGTGATTATAATTGGGGCATATTTGGATCACACTTGCTTTACTCTCATCCGCAAAATTTAACAGAAATGAAGAATAAATTCAATGATATACGTCCCGTCAATAAAAAATATACTTCAAACGACGGAGGTGATTATAGAGCAAGAGTATGCAATGTAGGAATTGGAGCATTTTTACACGAACTTGGTCATTCATTTGGTTTATGTAAGCAGAATAATTTTACTTTTATTTATTACATAAGATTAACATAATCTTTGTTAGATCACAACTATGGTGTTATGCACAGAGGATTTGACAATTTTAATCGTGCCTTTTATTCAGTCGAACTATCGACAAGTAAAATAATCGTTTTTTTTTAAATATTTTTCTCGGTTAATCAATTTACTATCATTGTAGATAATGTATGGACCTCGCTTAGAACAAATGTTGATGATCAATATGCAAGTTGGAGTAAAGTAGATGCAGAAATAATGTTACCACATCATTTATTTCGATTAAAAAATGATCCAATCATTGATATGGTGGATAAAAATATACAATTATTTACAACATCTTCAAATAGTTTTATTCTTTATGCAAATGTAGGTATTAGGATGCTTGCATTCTACAGCAACGATGACGCGAAATATCCACATTATTTGACGTATGAACCAGCATTAAAAAAGGTTGATGTCAACATGAGTACAAGCACAGAGTTAATGAACTACAAGATCAATAACAAGGAAATAAATTTGCTAGTGATTCTCAAAAATGGTAGAATGGTAGAATTAGGAAAAATATTTAGTGAAGTAAATAATGGACTTATTACAGCTGATGTATTTAAAACACAAAGATTCGGCCCAGTCTATGAGAATCAAGTTGAGTTTAATGTTGATTTCACCGTAAATAATAACGCTAGACTTCTAACAATAGGTGTTTATTATGATAATTACGTTCATGGTTTGGAATTTACCTATACAGACAATACTGTTCGCTTTTTTGGATATAAAATTGGAAATAAAGGTTCATTCAGTTTGGTCAATAAGGAACTAAGAGTTTTAAGAGTACAGTCTGGCGCTTGGATTGACGCATTACAATTCTGCTTTTCAGCAACTGACTGTACACAACAATTTGGTGGTACGATAAGCGGTCAATGGTCAGCTGAATTCAATTTAGATATTATAGGCAGCTCACAGTTTTATAAGGTGTCGGGATTAAATGGAGCATTCATTGAGAAATATAATCCAGATTGGACTGTTAATACAATGAGTTCAATTACAGTATTATACAAGAAAGTCTGAAAAAAATTCATTAAGATTTTTAAAATAATATAAAATATAGTTTAATTTCTTGTAATTTATATTGTCAACATTAAATTCTACTATTTTTTATATTATTTTATTAATAAAAGTTTTATTAAATAGATAAAACTAACTATTAAAAAAAATATATTTTGAAACTTCATCAATTTTCTATTGATCGTAAGGAAGAGACTCAAGAAAGAGAAAAAGTAATTTTACAGAAATTTTTTTCGAACAACATGGACTATTTGTATTGGCAAAATTCAAATTATCAAAGTCGAAGTTAAGTTAGTTTGATAAAACTTGCGGCAGCAACTTGTTGATGTTTTATCCACATAAATGTTAAATTGCTTTTATAGAGCTTTTATTGTGTCCATAAAAAATTCTACCGTTTTTTGGTCATTATAGAGCTACAGTGAAATGCAAAAATAATTGCCGATAGACTTTTCAAAGTTCTTCTCAGACAAGTATCAGATACTATGATTTTTTAATATTGTTATACTACCCTGATACTGTACTATACAAATATACCAATCATTAAAACTTTCACATTCTCTATGAGTTTAAAGAAGACAATAATCTTACGTTCTTGCAAACAATCAAAAAACTAACAGGTTACGCATAAATTTTAATCCAGTTTTCGCGTCAGAATCTTGTTGATTCATCGATACCTCAAAGTTTTTCATTCATATCAATTGATAAAATGGTCTGGAAGAATAATTCAATTAGATTCAGACTTGTGCTATTAAGTGGCCAAACGGTAAGTTTACCTATTTAGGGGTGGTGGATCATATTGTTAGCCTTATTATAACACAGTGTTATGCTCCTCAATCTTGAAAATTTTATCATAACTAGTGTGAGTAAAGGTCATCGTTATACAGTAGTTTCCAACTTCTTTTCGGTAATCATTACTTCAATCATGTAACATGATTTATTGGTCAGATCAGATGCATGTAATGCTTGAATTATAAGTCATTTTTGCGCAAATGTGTAACAGTTTTCGAGCAATTCCAGTGTCATTGAATGCGTCAAGGTAGTACCTAATACTTGCACATAACTCAAGAATAATCGGTCGAAAACGTACGCGACAGTTTTAAAGAAAGTCAATACACTAAACGGCAATTTTTCTGCACTCCACTGTATATATCGGAGAAAGTTCTTTTTTAAGCAAAAAATTACAGAATTTTTTCTTTTTTAAACATAATTAAAATAATTAAAGCTATATATAGCACTATTTTGTAAAAAAAAATAACCAATAGAAAATAAGCTAAATTTTATGCATTTTATTAAGCTTTTCTATTAAAAAAATAAAAATTAAGCGTCAGCAAAATGTATAAATTAAGAAAAAATATGAAGGTGGTAATTAGCTTAAAGAAAAAAAAGAAAAAAAAACGGCTATAATATTGTCATACTAGCGTTGTATCAGCTAGTACTCACTTCATAATCAATAATGTTTTCATCATCATCATCATCTTCTTCTTCTTCTTCTTCGTTGTTTAAGTTGAAATTGTTTATGCTTAAAATTATGAATGATGT